TAACACCAGCCGTGGTCTAAGGGAGCAAGCTGGGATCCAGAGAGGCCATTATTAAGCCCTGTGTTCCCCTGGGCTGGGTTGGCCGGGTTTGGTTAGGCGGCCAACGTGGCCTGGCCCAGGGAGAGGTGTGACCCCCAGATAAAACACCCGAGCTGCTGCAGCTCAGCTGCTCTCCATCGTGAGGCTGCTGGCTCCTTGCTGGACTACGTCCCCTGTTTGCAGGTTACCTTACACTCATATCCCTAAATGGGTATAAACACACTTTGATCAATATCTGTGTGGGCAGGTGATCCCAACAAATGCAGGCAGTGAGACTACGGTGACAACTCGGTAACCAGCACTTCTGGAGCTGGTGTGGGTGGCTAGAGCGGATATAGTCTGCAGAAGGTGACAGGAGAAGATGCTTTTTCTTTTCTTTTTTACATAGGCTTCCCTTCCAACTTGGCACTATGTGATTTATAGACCCATGCAGCTCTACAGATATTATTTACAGTATTAATATTTCCTCTGTTACACCTTTAAATCTTTCTGGGCTCAACTTTAGATGATGCTATCTTCATGCTGAAATGAAACTATTAAATTACATCTCAATCTAAGATGAATGACAACTGTCAAATGAGTGACTCAACAGAGATGAAGCAGAAAGCACCTGAGATTATGTGAGGCTGATTTATAAAGATTGCATAAAGATTTCTATAACCCCAGCTTCATGACTCAGCATATCAGATGGTAATAAGTTACAGTAGGTAGACATTTATTTCCGCTAGAAGAAGCCAAGGAAAGCTTCTCTCTCTTCCAGATCAGCTATCTCCCAGCTAATTCTGCTCAGACTGAGCCTCCCTGCCAGAAACAATCAGTGCCTATCCCAGCCTGAAGAAAGCCCCAGATCCTTGCTGCTTGATGCTTTCCATTAGCATTTACTAAATTACATTTAGAGAACTTTTTCCTTCATGGTACAACGTAGGATACACCTTGTCGCTTTCCATCCTCCAGAGAGACCACGTTAAAACACTCCTGTTAAGCCCCAGTCTCGAGCAGTCAGATGGTCCTCAAGTGAGACACCAGCAGAAGCTGCGTGGGCTTGGCACGGGGATGTGACAAGCATTCAACTCACAGAAACTGAAAATTTTCCCTTGCATCGCTTTGCTGGGATTGACATTTCTGATGTCAGTAACTGCACATTTTCCTGCAAAAGAGGAGAAGATGAGTACAATGTTTAGTGGAACAAAAACATGATTTGCCTATACACTTAATGGTGTATATCACTAATATTTAAGGAGGTGAACAATGCGGACAGGCATGCTTAGCCTCCTATATTGAAATGTGAAATTCCTCCCTGAACAAAATCAGTTGAGATCCTCTCAACTCATAGGGGCATTGATCAGGCCCCGAAGCTGCTGTCTAGGGGTGAGTCTTGAAAGTGAAACTCCAGTTTGTGAAGTTCTGTGTGTGGTTGAGCACACCGCAGGCATGTTTTCAGGTGCTCGAATGCAAATTGTCTTGAAGTCAAAAATGCAAATTAAAAAGGAGATGAAAGGAGGCTAAATCAAATGAATAAGAAAGGCAAAATAAAATAAAAACTAACAAACTGAGGTATGAAAAGGTAGAAGAAGAAAAAGCACATCAGAAATGACAGGAGGAGGAGGAAGAGAAAAACTGGAAGGAGTAAAAAAAGAGAAAAGAGAAGAGAAGCACAGTGCATAAAGCAGGCAAAGACAGACAAAGGAGAAATAACAGCAGCCACCAGGTGCTTATATATGACTTTTCACTAGGAAGTAAGTGGGACAGCCAAGCTCAGAGATGAATCACAAGATGCAAAAAATGCAACAGTTCCAAGAAGAACACTAATTCAGCTGTCTTTCACATAACTAGTATTTTTCTACTCCTGCTTTTCAGGCTAACTGCACAGATCTGTATGATCCGTAATGCTACAGAACCAATTGTTGAAGAACAAAATATTAAGGGTGTTAGCACCTATCTAGTATTTTGTGTTCTGGATGAATACCACCAGAATACTTAGATGCCTGATGAATACAAGTACACAGTCGATCCTTTGACAATTAATTGCTTTGGTTTTGCTAGCTCAAGTCACACTTTGAGTATGGTTTTAGCGTGTGATGTTTGTCTCAAATTTTTTTAATGGGTGTTTGGTGAGGATGACAACACATTACTGGATTTGACATCCGTTGGAGTCATGAAGGAATAGGAGATGGTTACAAACTGCCAGCAGTTCTAACACGAATCAGAGCAATCTCACTGCAAGTCTTCAAGAAATCGTAGTCATTCATTTAATGTAAGTCTGGGCGTCTCTGGAATCCAGAGATGATGTCA